GACCCCAGTGGATGCCTGAAATCAGAGATAGTGCCAAATCCTATATATACTACTTTTTCCTATACATACCTATGATAAAGTTTAATTTATAAATTAGGCAGAGTAAGGGATTAACAACAATAATAATAAAAGAACAATTATAACAATATACTGTATAAAAGTTATGTTGATATGGTGTCTCTCTCTCAAAATACCTTATTGAGCTCTACTCACCCTTCTTGTGATGATGTGAGTTGATATAGTGCCTACCTGATGAGATGAGATGAGGTGAGGTGAGTAACAGGCACTGTGATACAGGGTTAGTCTAGTATAAGAGACACTTGAACACAAGCACTGTAATACTGTAACAGTCAATCTAATCAAGTTGGCTACTAAGTGACTAATGGGTGGGTAATATATCCAGTGTGTATTCACAGGACAAAGGGATGATTCATGTCCCCCATGGGATGGAATGGGATGATGCAGGATTTTATCATGCTACTTAAAATTGAATGTGATTTAAAATATATGAATTATTTTTGGAATTTTTCATCTAATATTTTTGGACCATGGTTGACCAAGGGTAACTGAACCCCCCAAAATGTGGATAAGGGGGTCTTTTGTATTACTAAATATGGTTGATCCTTGAACAACATAAAGGTTAGGACCACTAACCTCCACCCAGTTGAAAATCCACATACAACTTTTGACTTCCCAAAAAGTTTACTAATAGCCTACTGTTGGCCAGAAATCTTACCAATAATATGAAGTCAATTAACAAATAGTTTGTATGCTACATGAATTATACACTGTATTGTTATAATAAAGTAAGCTAGACAAAAGAAAATATTATTGACAAAATCATAAATACATTTATAATACTGTATGTTTTATTGAAAAAAAAAATCTGCTTTTAAGTGTCCTGCATAGTTCAAGTGCACATTGCCCAAGGGTCAACTGTAAATCAGGAACCTTTATTATTCAGTGGCTAACAAAGCATCATTTTCATTGTACTATGCACTATTCTCTTCCAAGGTCATTTTACTATGCATATGGAATACACTGTTCTCTTCCAAGGTCATTGTTAGTACCATTATGTAGATGCAATTGTTAGAGGCTGATCTAAGGTTAGTTACTAAGTGACATATCCAAAGTACAACATAAACAATAGAACAAACAAGTCCTGTATATTCTAGGCTATAGAAGATCAACCAACTTTTTTTTCTAGATCTAGTAACTTGATATCAGATGTGTTATCCCCCTATTTCTAAATTAACCTCATTTCAGTTTAACATTTTCTGTTTTGCTTAGCCTACCACCTGAGGTAACACATAGAGAAATGCTTTGAAGCTGGACAGTGCTATCAACGGCAGGTACCAAATCATTTCTGCTATTATGATGCAGCAGGCAGTTTGTGGAACAGGGAATAGTTGAGAATAGAGATGATGAAAGGTTTGAGATCTGAGTCCTGGATTCTTGAAATATTTAGGATGTGGGAAGATGAGGAGAAGCCATTAAAGAAAAGAGGAAGAACTTCTCATATGATAAGAAGAACCTAACGGTAAACAGTACTTATAAAGACAGACTTTGGGAGACTGAGTAAGAGGAAATGCAGGAGGCCCTAGGGGTCAGAATGCTGCGCCGGTGCTCTGACTACACCAGTCTCTACTGACCCGGGTCATAACTACTCCGCAGGGGCCTGGAGAGAACACCCGTGGGAAACAAGTCAAATGAACACACACTTAACAGACTTCGTTATCATTTACAGGTTTCTCAGTTAAAGTAAACTTATTTTTAAAACTGCTAAACAAGCTAACTAATATTGTACGACCAATGATGAATATGACAATAGGCAAAGATGAATTATTTCAGGCAATTTGAAGACTTAAAATCATGATACTATTTTTGAAAGTCCGGTATCTGAATCAACTTGTGATTAAATTCATTTTGCCTGAGGTTATTACTGTGAACCGCCTTATCAAGATGAATTTGATCATGGTTTACGTATTACTTGTTTTTTAAAAACAAAGTTGTTGCAATTTAAATTATAATATAACATAAGAATCGCAAGCAACGCTACTGCAATATTTCAGAAATACATATTGGATAGTCTGTTACAGCCTGTCTTTAGTAGTAGTCTGGTTTGTTTTTGAACATTTTGAACTATCAGAATTTGGGAATATTAGAAGAGTAGTCAAATAGTTGTAAGAGTATTGATGGTAGCGACAGTAGGTTTGCTCAGCATGGCTAAAGGGATTTTTTTCCACAGGTGTTTAGAACCTGCATCAGTTAGCTACTTTGAAAAGATAGCAGGTGTCAGAGGGGAGCTGAAATGAAGGTTTAAAACCATTCCAATTCTGCAAATCAGGTTACTAGTGAAATATAGATACCTATATAAATGAGCCAAGTTCAATAAATTAAAAAATAATATAAATTTCTGTAACACTGGGATTTTAAAACCATTCTACTGAAATGAGAAATTATTTTCAGTTTCCTAAGAGGGAACATTACATAGTATAGTTGGCTGCATTTTGTAAGAAACATAACAGTTAACATTTAATTATAGACTTTAGGTAGGAGTCAAATAAAGATAGTTTTAAAAAGCTAAAAATTTGTTAATTTGATATCATTTGGTGATGAAAACACAATTATATCTAAAGGAACATAAATATTTTGGCTGTGAAATGTTGCACACCGAAGTATATAAACCCTTGTGTTGCCTGACATAAATGTGAACCGAAACAGAAATAGAAAATCAGTTTAAGTGGTTATTAGTACAGTATTTAACAACTTGGACATCGGCACAAATTGAGCAAAATCATTAAATTTACTTGACACAATTATTCCTTATAATGATATATAGAAATAAATAAATTCATTTTTGAGGGAACAAAATACTTATATTGTATTTTACAAAGAATAATCACCAATGTAAGGTGGAAACGATGGTTCATTTCAAGTTCTAAACACAAACGACAGCCTGGTAAGATTTCTAGAGGACAATATTTTAAAGTCAGCAAGATCATGTAACACTACGTGTTTACTTGCTTTACCAGTGTATCAAACTAGCCAAACACAGGGAAAATATTGCAGTGCTTTATAACACAGAAATACGACCTAGCCTTTGCTGCTCTCCTTGCCCCTCTCTCTTTCAGAGTGTGAGCCACAGTGGTTTCCTCACCGCTTATTAAAAATTGAACGGCAACAGCTATAAACTCTTAGAAACGTAACAGGCAAGCCATTTATAGCAGATGTGGACTTTTTAAATGTTTGCTTGGAGTTGCTGAAAACCATGTATATCTTAAATCTTCCCAATTCTGATGAAGAGTCACTTGTATCATATCTGCCCATTTCAGTAGTAATTGAAAACAGTGTTTTGAAGTAAAAGAAATCATTCTTGCCACCTTGACAAGTACGGTTCTGTGAGAAAACTATTTGTGGGTGAATATCCTTCATTGTCTCTACTTCTCATTGAAACAAATAAAAAAAGTTTATCTATTAATACATAACAAGTTCTTGAGTTTATAAATAATTTCAGGAGTAAAAAAATCCCTAAAAACTTACTAATTCTACACATACACACACTCACAACTGATATTAGAATGAAATTACAACCTAAGCTATTTTTATAATACTTTTTATGCTTTAATATTCAAATGACAATGAAATTATAGTACATATCAGTACTAAAGATAGCATGAAAGTGAAAGGTTATTCAAAAGTATCCTAAAAGATAAATATCATAACTCCAAAACACAGTGGAGGACATTTTAACTCTTAGAAAAATATTTTTTCTAATAAAACCATTCTGTTTTCATTTTTTCTCCTGTGATAAACTATATTTAAACCAACAATAAGAACACATATCCCTCTCTGCTCCTACAAGACTAGAAGATATTTAATTTTCACTAGGAAATTGTATTAATACATTGAGGAATTTTGTGGCCCTTTGTTCAGTTGCTGCTCCAAGGGTGCTAAATCCCATCCGTTTATCTTCTATGTTAAATTTATTACTGTGTTTGACAGAAAAATGTATTTCTTTGTATTAATTGTCTCTTTGATTTTGCACCTCTTTTGACTTTCATCCCTTTAACCAATGTTTGGCTTGTAAATAAGGACCTAGAAGGAATCGGGCATTGATGTTTGAAACATTAGTAGTGTTCTAAATTAATTACAAGATAACTGAAAAGTACATAAATTCTCCCACCATGAAAGGACATGTCCAACAGGTCCAAAATAGCCCATTGTGACTCAGAGGGGGACTATCAGGTCAGCCTCCACAGAGGGCACAGGTCCAGGAGATTACTTTATAAAGTAATTGCCTTTGGTATGACCTGAGATGAATGAATACTTGAAAGTCAGCTGCTCTGGGTACATTAACTTTCACGCTTACTTCTCAGTTGATAACTTTAGTTGTCTCGTCCATGTAAACAAATGCATGCACATAACAATGGAGGGTAGAGAAACTTTATTCCTCATTTTTCATGGTAACACAAAGAAACTAAATTCTTTTGGTGATTTTTTTTTTTTTAATTAGTTCCATCTTTTGTGATATTGACCAGTCTCAGTCCAGCTATACCAGAAATGTTTTTCAACCCATACAATCAAAACAAAGTGAATGATTGGTGAGCATTTTTGGAAGACCAAATTCACAGGAGTTAAATCCAAATAGTTTTTTACCATAACTAATCATATATTTAACCAATTTCCTTGTAATTTGACTATAATAAAAATCTATTAAAATATTTTTATATTATGACATAATATTAAAATGAAGCATTTACTTATTTAGTAGAGCTATCCATCCTAGTTACACAATATTCACCAATATACATTTAATATCCACCATACTAGTTACTAGTTTTTTTTTATGCCCTAAGGATTATCCCATTTTTAAAACCTTTAATTCTCACAGCTCATGATCATTCACTAGTTTTTCATACAAAAGTGTTATCCCCATTTAAAGCCATAAGTTAAAAATAAACAAAACCTTAAGAATGGTATTAGAATCACACACTTACAGTCTGTGATTTTGAGTGTCCTCTTGACTTCTCCACTTCCTGATCCCCCACAGCCATCCTCATCGTCACAGTCCCCGCTGACCTGGTCGACGCCACCACCACTGCCCATGGGAAGGTCCCACTTGTCGGGTTTGGGCGACCTACCCTGTAGCAACTAAACATGAATAGAGCAAACATTTACTAAGAGTAAATTCAAATCATCTAAGAATGCTATTCAGGAATATATGTAGAAATTAGGATTATTCTCTTATGTGGGTCCACTATTTTGATAGTGGGTCCACTTTACCAAATCAAGTGTATAAGAAGAGTAAAAACTACTGAAATAATGATAAACAATGACCAAAGCCTTACAGACAAAAGGGCTATGATCTGAATATTATCTCTGTGCTAAAGCTTTGGAAAGCAAATGAAACCAGGTCTTCTTTCTGATGGAGAGTTTGCCTAGAGAATCCTTTGTTTCTGAATAAACAATGTTTAAGCGTGATAAACTCCAACACAACACGACTTGCTTTCAGTATACTGGCTGATAATATTGTGCTGTTTTTTTTAAACCAACAATCCAAAATTTCTCAAATAGTAGATTACCAAAAGTGGTACTATTGTTCAGAAAAGATTTAAAAATTTAGAATTTTGGACATATACATTTTTAGATTTAGTTAAACTTTCTTGGATCAAATACATAGTCCAATTCATATAGCACAGAACTGAACGTTGGAACAAAGGACTTAAGTTCTACTTCCATTTCTAGAAATAAGTTAAGAAATTTAACCAACTTCTTGGTTCTCAAGTATTTCATTTACTTTTATGAGCAAAATAGATGGAATAGACATTTTCCCTAGAGCATGGGAATGCTGGTAGTATTTTTTGAATAATATTATAAATGCTCGAATTCCTTTTCAAAAAGTTGATGTTATAAATAATAAATAATAGAACATTTTACTTAATGCGAAAGCTGAGTAAAATGATCCAATATATGATAGTTACCCCTCTAAGGCAGTTTTGGAGAACACATGACCAGGCATGAGCACTAGAGGGTACTGCTATATTATGAATGAAATACACCTCTGCTGAACACTTAATGGTCATTTAAATTTTCAGAGTGCTTTATGAAAGTATTACAGTTGTTACTTCTAAGAAATTTTCTATATAAGGATATTGATTAGCAGGCAATAATTAAACACACAACCCAAGAAGAGCATTTCATATTGAAAATCAAAGTGTGAAATATTCTCAGTATACTTAAGACAAATATGTTTAGCACTTAAAGAACATTTACACTAAGCAACTACACTTTGACAATTTATAAACTTTCAAAATTAAAAAGAAAAAATGGTTACAAATTCTGAAATATTACAGTTCCTTAAAATGTATTTTCCCTAACAAAAATAAAATGTTAGAACAACTTGACAATAATTTAAAAATTCTTCTCATAATTTATTTCTATGGATCAGCATTTCCCAAAATTTATCACTAGGTATTACATTTAAAAAGAGGGCTTCCTTCATGGTCAAGTGGATTTAGGCAACCTTAAGTTACTATGTTTAATGCACTGATGTGCACTCTTATTCCTGCAGGGCAGATACAGATACATAACAAAGCACATACAGATTCAAAATCCAAAAAAGGAAAGGAAGGGTATTATTTTATAACATTTAATACCACTTGTTATTTAGCATAATCATAAAGGGCTTGGTCTCTGAGGTCCAACATACTTAGATTTGAATCCTGATTCTGACATATATTTACCATGAAACATTATGCAAGTTACTGAAAAACTAATTCAGTTCCCTCATATCTAAAACAGGGACAACAATATGCTTAGGCCATCTTTTTATTGTGAGAAAAAATATACATATAGTACTTTGCATAGTGTTAGGACATTAAAAATTAATATATTTTCTTATTATTTTCTACTTTATTGTAAATTTTATTACAATATTACTTAAACACCCACAACACATTAATTGAAAGAATTATTTGATAAAGAATTCAATTACCTGACTTAGATTAAAATTTTTATAAGTATTACCTGATAAGTACAACAAAAGCCAAACTTTGCAGTGATGTGTAATTCCCTTTTGCCCCTGACATTATTTCCAACACTTTCCCATTTAAACTTTGTTTTCCCTTTACTACCCTAATTATTATTACATTTTATTGGTATCTTGGCAAAACAAAGATGGAAGCTTGGGAACACCTACAATATATAAGTCACAAAGACCCAACCCAGTGAGTTTGAACTAAAAAATGTAAACAGAAAGATAGTGCATGTAAAACAAAACTTACTATTTTAAGAAATTGGTTGTGGTTGAAAGCAATTAAATGTCTTAATTGTCAGGCAATGATTCATTTATTTACCATGACTGGCAAAGAGAATTGAGAATGTATTATTTTGAAAAAAACTTTGTTATGTTTTCTACATTTCTAGATCACTGAAGATCTAAGAAACATCTAAGACACATGAATTCACATTTTTTAAAAAAAGAACTGTACAAAACTATATTTCAATTTAATTTAAATATTTGTGGTGGGCAAGATTGTAAAATAGGCCCCAAAGTTTCCCACTCTAGTCCTTGGACTGTGAATATTATGTCACTGTCATATCCACTACATTACATGGCAAAAGGAAATTTGCAAATGTAATTAAGGTTATTAATCAGTTGATTTTGAGTTCATCCAAAGGGAGATTATATAGGTGGACCTAATGTAATCACATGAGTTCTTTAAAAGCAGAAAGTTTTACCTGGCTCTCAGCAGATGTCAGAGGATTTGAAGTTTGGGGAGGGAGGAAGGAGGATTGGACTTTAGAGATCATGCTGTTGGCCTTGAGGTGTAAACTTAGATGCAGTGAGAGGCCCCATGAGGGATTCTGCCAAAAGTCCTGTGGCCAGGAACTGTACTAGTAACCTCTAGGAGCTGAGAGTGATCCAACTTACAGCCAGCAAGGAATCCAGCCCTCAGACCACAACTGAGTTCTACCAACAACCTAGCTGAGCCTAGAGGAGGGGTCTCCCCCTAATCCTCCAACTGATTCAGGCTTCGCCAGCAACTTGACTTCAGGCTTGTGAGACCCTAAGCTGAAAGTCCTGAGCAAGGAGCCCCCTGAGCAAGGAGCCCATCTGGCCTTCTAAACTATGGGACTATGAGTTAATAAATGAAAGTTTTTTAAGCTGCTGCATGGTAACTTGCGCAGCAACAGAAAAAGAATACACTCTCTAACCTCCAAATGTGCCACATACTTCTTGGGAAATGTTTTTGTCTAGTCTCTTTTGATTCTCTAACATATTCCTCAGAACAAAATGTCAACATATCCATAAAACAACACCTTACTGAGAAGATTATGCCCTTGGAAATAAGCTATCAGATTTTCCCTGTTCTCAACCTTTCCGTTTCTCTGCCTTTTCACAATCCCTTTCACTGTTTTTCCAGGTCTCTGAGCAAGAAGTATAATTGTTTCCTATGATCAACTTATCCATACATATCCACAATCTCATCTGACCCATGCTCCCAGGATCCCAATAATCCCGTCCTCCTCTAGTAGGGTCCATAGCTCTGTCTTCTCTGAATGAAGGTTCTGCCTTACAATGCTCATTTTCTCACTTTTCAATTATCATACATCCACAAATGTTCATTCTCATTCTCACAATTATAATAGAAGTTAACATAAAAATTTCCAAGAAATTTCCAATCAACAAAAACAATAGGATTTTCACAGTAAGATCTTTATTCAAAATCTCATGACTTTTGGACTATTTTTATTTCTCCTGAGTTTGCTCATTTTTCTCCACACATCAAAAATAAAGATGTTTCAATTAACAGTGTAAATTCTCTGGGTTTTTGTTGTTGCTGCTGTTTTTTAATAAAATAAAATAAAAATTTTAAAAATCCTCTGTTCTTTTTAGTGTCTTTCTGGGAACGCATCCTGATAGATTGTGTTCTCATCTGTATACAAATTACACTCAAGTTTTTATTTGCAGCCCCTGTTACTCTGTAGTTCATCTCTAAGCAGTGACTGGATATAAAATGAACTCTACCACTTTGTATATTAAAATAGAACCATTTTTCTTCACTATTAAGGTACCACCACAACTTATCTCCCCAACTCACTCAGTGCAGTGGACATCAGTCTCTCCCTCCTACTACCACCAGATTATTTCCCCCTAATCAGTACTTCACCATGTCATCTCTCTGCCTGAACATTCTTTGTGACTCTTTACTATCAAAGACCACTGGTTCCCAAGATGTGTTTGGAAGACAAATATCAGTCCAGATAGATGAGTTACAGGAAGAGGTCTGGTGGTAAAATGCTTGAAAAATTCATAGTATGGCCCCTTTCTGATACCCATGAACAAAGAACTCATGAGGAATTTGACAGGAAGCATTTTTGTTTAGCTGTGTTTCACCTGTCATTTTCCAAATTTACATAAGCAAATTAACCCTCCCCTCACTCAACATCAATTGACATACTTTTGAAATGAGGTCTAAAAAAAAAAAAAAGTCAAATTTAGCTTGCAGTCAAGGCTCAGTATAATATACTTTTTAGTTTTTATTTTGAAATATGTTTCTTTATTGATTTTTAGAGAGAGAGGGAGAGAGAGATAGAAACATCGATGAGAGGAAACATAGATCGGCTGCCTCCTGCACACCCCCTACCAAGGATTGAGCCCACAACCCGGGCATGTGCCCTGACCAGGAATCGAACAGGTGGCCTCTGGGTTCATAGGTGGACACTCAATCACTAAGCCACACCGACCGGGCTAGAATATACTTTTTAAAGAAATTATGTCTCAACACAGCTCCCCAGCACCCAAATTCAGCCACACAGCATTGTATCTTTTTCTCACAGAAACTGTGCAAATTTATAGTCTATAATTTTGTTTATGATTGTTTTATAGTCTCCTCACTTCCAATTCCTGTTTTCCCTCCACACAGAATAACCCCTTTGCTCTTCCTGAACTCATCACATTATACCTAATTTTAAGTTTAAACTCAAATAACTTTTGCTCCAGTCCATACATATTTCTCTGATCTTTTAAATCTGTGTGAACCATTCATTGACAATTAACTCTTGGGGCATATTCTGTGACATTCTGAATAATGGCAAGTTTCTCAAAGACAAGATCATGATTGAATCATTTTATACTCCCCATCATG